GTATTTGGGTAGGTTCACAGATTTAAAGCTGGGGGGGGGGGGGCAGCCAGAGAAAAAAATTCAACTTACCTGAAAAAACCTGACAAGCAAAATAATAATAAAAAAAAACCTTCTTTCGGTACCATTTTTTCCCCATACATTACTACATTAGCCTTATTTGACTGTAATGCAACAAAGGGGGGGGGGGGGGGGCAACGAGCCTTTCAATGAACATTTCCAACAGTAAAAAGTAATGTGTGGAAAAGGTGGGGGCAGGCCCCTCTGGGTGGTGTATATTTATTAAATTTTCTTTGTACTCAAGCTATGTACCATTATATCATTGTTTGTTAAGCATGCATTATTCGTCAGAATATAAAATTACAAGATACACTGTATACGTGAAGGGTAACTTTGACCCCGCACTCAGAGTAATTTCGACCGAAGCTCTAATGTACAGAAAAAAAACTATAGTCGAAATTATAACTTGCGTCACCTCTAAGAAAAAAAAATCCTTGATTTATTCAAGTACACTGACAAAAAGATACTGTAGTTTTTCTAATTGTGAATAATTTGAAGACATCAAGTGCATGACGCTAATTCACTGAGTTGTCAAGGCATGCTTCAAATGTACCTGCACACACAGGCAAATAAACAGAACAGACGAGTTTTCACTGATTCTACTGATATTTTTTTTTTCTTCATTTTTTAAAACAGTCATAAATTCTTTCTGGTAAAAGTTATATTGCTGCAGATTTATTTATTATTCATTAGTCGAATTAGAAACATATAATTTTCGTTTTTAGAAGTGGGAGGGGTTTGGGGCGCCAGAGAAAAAAAGGGGGTGAGGTTTAAACTCGAAAATCCTTTTTTCATGTGGGGTGGTCCAACTTTTTTCGGAAAAAAATTTTCTTTATACATTATCATATAAAAATTGGGTCGGTAGATAGGTTATAAATTTTTTTCCAGAAAATGTCACCATTCTTATTGATGGAGAAAGAAAATTCAGGAGGAAAAATTATCGTTTCCCCTGATTAAACAAGTTTTGAGTCGGGTCATTTTTAGCCAGTCGGTGAGGGCAAAGAAACAATTTTTTAAAGATGGTCTAACCTAATTTGGTTGATACCACGTGTCTGGAAATTACTCACCGAAGCAGCATTCATGTGGACAGGGGTTACTAAGGCCAATTTCTGTTCAGCTGATTTAATTGCATTGCATTTTTCTTTGTAAAAAACTGAATATTTTAAAATGAGTGTGTGTGAGTTTCATTTACAAAAACATTCTCATATATGTCACGCCAGGAATGGCTATTGATTAATTTTCTACACAGATATTGTCAGAGATGATAATTCCTTGTAATGGCTAAGAAAACTATCAAAATAAAATTAAACCCGGCTTCAATATACATGTACATGTATTATAACCATATCATGAATCCGTGGGAAAAAAAGCCGGTTCGTAATTTTTCGGTTGATAAAGCTTCTTCTTAGATATATACGATCCTTCGATGTAATTTTGCTCCAGTCTTTGTCCCCCCCCCCCCTTTTCAGCTCTTTGATTTTTTTAAATTAAATATTTCGGATTTCCAACGATTCAGCATGAGCATTACTGTAGATTCCTAAATATACGCGAGGAATAAATTATCGCGTAATTACGCGAGAAGCGCCATTCGCGAAATAAAATTACTCGCTTTTATTTTATGGTGCTTTACTGTATGTAAAATCTCTAAATAAATCACCCATTCGCGAATTATTGTTCTCGCGATTTGACGCCCTTCGGCCATTTTGCGATATTAAGTACTCGCGTAAAATAAGGAATCTACTTAAGAGACATAATTTGTTTAAAGAGACACTGTGAAGGACTAACGGGAAAACTGACAGAAGTAAAATTTTTGCAAGACACATGCAGATTTAATTCAATTCTTGAAAGTATTAGATTTAAGAAAATTACAGGTTTCAGAACCTAAAAAATCTACTTTTGTGGAGAAAAATATAAGTAAAACTAATTTTAGTTTGCCCCAACACGAAAAAGAAAACTTAAAAGAAACCCATGATATTGACTCACTATGTAACTTTAAATGCGCCTCTGGTGCATCAAAATTGGCACCATATATGATTTACATGTCCAAAGTTTAGCCAGTAGCATGAATAAAAAGGCCATTGTTTTATGTTTATTTTTTTTTTAACTCTCCCTCGCCCTCTTTTTCGTTTTCGTAAGACAGAATCTCTGACTACATGCCTCAAAATGAGACATTTTTCATTTTTCTTTTACATGTGTATTTCCCTTTTCGGAACACCTTTGCTCGTTTAAATGTCCATTGAAATGTATTGTAGCGTCACGGTAGCGACTACGACAAGAAGTAGTTTTGAGGTATCCTGCGGGGATTTTATCTTTTGAAATCGCAATAACATTGAAGAATTAAATAATGCAAATGTGAATACAATGAACGATCCCCTTTTTTGGTTACGTTCGTTCGTAAGATGTCGGTATTTCTCTTGTAAAACCTTAATAAAACCTGCGCTGCCCATAGACTTCAATGTAAAATTCAAGGTGAAATTTATTTGATAATAATAAAAATTTTGTAAATTCCTTTGGTGGAGTATTTTTATTTAATAACACCTTCAAAATGCCCCCATGATTAAAAATATCGGACCATTCATTTATTAGGCACAAAATAGAGTCATTATACATTGAATACCTTAAATACAAGATATTACTTTCGTCAATCGACATACATGAATAGATATATGTAGATACACAAATGCATTCAAAGACAGAAAAATACGCTTTTCTTGTTGTTTGTCAATACAAAATCAAAAAGAAATCATTCTTAGTCGCAAATGAGTACTATTTTTTTTTTAAATGGCATTGGAATATAATATGATCATAATCTATTACCAAGAAAAAAGCTTTATATTCTAAGCATTGTGTAAATTACCGTAAAAATATTTCAAAGCGCATTCTGTCAATTAAAATTTTCTTTCTTGCTCTCTAAAACCATACGAAAGAATACTCACTGCCTCTTCTACACAATAGCACTTACATGTACGGTTTACGCTGGTCCATTACGCTGGTTTACGCTGGTCCATTATTTAAACAAGTTCATATAAGGCTTGATAAACAAAATTTTGTAAATGTGAGCATAGAAATGAAAGATTACACACCATTTTCAATATCTATTTCATAAATATCGAAAAAGAATGGAAAATGAATTTCCAAGGGACAGTTTAAATTGCTATTCATTTTCAATACATTGCGTTTGTACTAAAATTTGTAGTAGCCAATAATGCATTGCGACTCATTCAGCTGATCGGTTGTTCGATAAAGTAAACAGATACCTAATTTAACTTGCAAATTTATGCTGACGTCAGAAAATCTAGTGGTCTTGACCTATTAAATAGGAAGAGTATAAGGAAGGTCAATCGTCTTATTTTGGGTAGATCACCAAAATTTCTGCGACACCTTATTTTTGCGATAGTTGTATGGTATTTATAATATTTTTTCCACGAATGTTGGTAATTGCTGTATTAAAATATTTATTTAATTACAGAAATATAAACGAGAATGAAATTTTCGCGAGCAGACGTTCTCGCTAAATTATGCTAAAATAAAGTTCTCTCAAATTAAGATTTACAGTACTCAACCTTCTTATTTCCTGTAAACTTGAATGCACATTATATAAATATTGCATGTATTTGAGTGTAACATTGAAAATTTTCACCCCAAGAAAACCATTGTCAACCGAGGCGCAGCGGAGGTTGACAATGTTTTTCGAGGGGTGAAATTTTTCAATGTTACAATCAACTACATGCAATATTTATTATATTATATTGAATGTTTTATACAAATACATATTACAGTGAACCTTGAGCGCATAAATTCTGCGCAGTCAATATTTTTTGGAATATCACTCGCCGTCAAGTAATATTGACTGTTGCAATGCTGGAGGGCGTGGCTTCATTAATCAGCGGGTAATAGTGTTATTTAACAAATGTTTCTCGAAGAATCAGATTCAACTAATTTACATGAAAGTATAATATTACATTACAGTGGCTCTTGATGTGACTGTATACTGTTCTCTTCGTGTCTCAGTCACATCTAACGCAATCCTCTGGTATTCTGTAATTGAAAGTCGTCCCCGCCGCTGTTCAAGGCTCCCGCGTCAGTTAAGAAGCGTATAAAGCAGATAACAGCCGTAACTGGCAGTCAACAAAGAAGTTATCATCATCATTTAAAATTATTGAAGTACTCAAGGGTCCGTTTTTATTCTCATTAATTACCGATAATATATTTAGAGCATTGAATTTCGCTTAATCATTATTTGCTTTATTAGTTCAGACAGATGGCATGATTATAGAATAGAATAGAATAGGGTTTATTACCAAATACATGTATTTACATTTTTAATTTTCTCTGTGAGAGATAAAACTACAAATAGTGAAAATACTTGATTTCTACATAATGCTACTGATTAATCGATAGGCGTGGTTAAAAAAAATCGCGTGAGGGTCGAGGCAGAGAGAGACAGAAGTGGGTGGGACTTGTGGCACGTGAACTTACGGACTAAAGAGCGTGTAAATATAAGGAATAACTGTCAGATTTTTTGGTTTCATGGCGATGATCAAGCAATTGGCTTGCGTGATAATTTTATGCATAAACGCACTCGACGTTTATGCAAATTATCACACAAGCCAATTGCTTGATCACGTCATGAAACCAAAAAATTAGACAGCTATTCCTTAAATCAGGGCCCAATGGGCATAAAAATAAATTACAGATTAAGTAACAGACAGAATACAACATATAATGAAGAGCAATTCTTCCATTTAGTACAACTAATCCACCAACCTTACTCTTCTTGACAGGGAATTCACTAGAATTTTATTTCTCACTTTTTTTAACCTGACATTTAAATATATTCCATTTTCATACCATGTAAAGAATAACTGAGTCAAAATATCTTTCATTACAGTGAAAATTGAAAATGAGTAATTTTTTTCAATTTATTCTTTTTATAGGCATAAAACATCAAAGTAAAGGCAAACAACATAAATCTAAAAGCAAAGACTATACAACATGGGGGTAAAAGCATAGACCATATACAACATAAAGGTAAAAGAATTGAGTAGAACAAAGTCAAGTATTGATTAAGTACAAATTACATACTTTTAAATAAATATCACACCTGTTCGAACAGAAATTTAAAGTATCATCGTAGTCGATATATACTTACTAAGTATATTAGTGTATGTAACACCATTTGTAAGCTGAGCTGTGACAATAAACAAAGAGTTAAGTTTATAAAATTAATGTAAATACAGTATGTAACTCAGAGTAAAACTTTTCATGCATAAAAAATATCAGAGAGGAAATTTGGCACAAATCTGGTCAAAATTATACATGTTGATTTGAAATTGTCAGATGTTTCAATAAAAATAATTTTTAAAAAAAACATATAATTATTAAAGGCATTGTAATTCCTATTTTTTAGTGGAGGGTGACTGTAAAACAAGTTTGAATCATTTCTTATTTCATCATATGTAAACACCCTGCACAGACTCTTCCAGTATAAATTAATCGCCTCCCAACACATTACTGATTTTGTTCTAGGTCCTCTTTTGATCATATAGAATCATCTTCAAGTTCAGATAGATCTTCCTCTTTATCATCCCCTGTGACTTCTACAACGTCCTTTGTCTTTAGATTGTTTCCAGACTTTTTCTTTTTTCTCTTCAACATTAGTTCGTCAATAAACTGTATCCTCATTTGAAATGTTCTCTTTCTGACGCCAGACTGTGCCTTTACCTTCCTCAACACGGACATAGTCATACAATAAAACAGATGATCACATTTATTAGCATCTTTTTCCACGGAGACTTCAAAACAACTCTCCAAATTCTCCTTTTCAAATTCTTCAACCACTGCTTTCAGGTTAGAATTTTCGTCAACAATGTAATGAACTGGCTCCTGTGTAATATGACCAATCATAATGAAATGGTGACCCTTTATTGGGTCCGTTGTGGAAGATAAATATGGAGACAGTATTTTCACTTGTAATGATAACCTGCTTTCGGGGTACAAGTTCAAAAATTCATCTGGACAAGAGTCAAACTTGTTATCAGAAAAAAATCTATTTATAAGGTAATTTCCAGGAAGAAGAAAATCTGTAAGAATAGATATTATTTGGCCATTTTCTTTCATCAGGAAAAAGACGACGGTGTCTTCCACTGTCTCATTTAAAAATAACATTTGTTCTGTACCACACATTAAAAAAATTGGGATACAACCCGTAAAAAAATGTAATTTTCCTGCCCTTGTTTTCTTAACTTGCACTACATTGCAAAACCTTTGCAATTTTGTTTCGAATCTCCTGACAGAAATTGTGTCATTGTTTCCATTGCTTTCAATCTTGATTTTCGACTTTGTACCTTTACATGCAGTTCTCTCGGGTTTTCCTACACGATTCTCTCTCTTACATTTCTTCATTTGGTCAGTTGTGCTTTTATGATGGGGTATTTTCACTGTAAAAAGACAAAATAAATTTCACTTGATTCTTATTATAGATTTACCTGATTCAGTTATTAAAGCTGATTAATTAACCATGTCCTACCTTTCTTAGTTTTCTGTTTGCTATTCATGTCACTTGTACTGGGTGCTTTGTTTTCTCTGTCATTTTCCTCTTCCCTTCCTTGACCAAGTTGAGGGTTGCTAGAAATCTCCATCAATGATTTCACTTCATTTCCATTTTCGTCTTGTTTTAAGTTAGAAACAAGACTATTTTGGCTATCAATTTCAAACTCCATTTTGGTCTTTCTAGCGACAACGAACTATAAGAATCCAAAAAAAATTCTGAGCTATTAGTATTAGCAATGGCTGTAGACTTCATGCTGCATGCAAGATTGATATCCTTTATTTTACATGTAAGTGCAAGGCAAGCTGAATGCAAAGACTCATAAAAAAAACCTGGAATAGGAATAATGGTAAAAATTACAATTTACAGTGAGTACATTGATGTTTGTTTTCAAAATATTTTATTGTAAAAGAAATACAAAGGGATTGGTTACAAGGTCTAACAACTTAAAAAAACCTTTCCCTGTAATATAATGATAATAATGATTGTAATGAAAACGTGAAGTTATAGATAAATAGTTATATACAAAATATTTCCAAGACACTTATTATAAGTCCATTGTATGATTTACTACATGGTCGTAATTAATTGTCGATAATTAATCCGTTCAATTATGTAAATCGCACTTCACCAGAGTACACCCGACAGATCGGACGTATTTCATAGCGGTGCGGATTTCTTTCTTTACAACTGGTTATAAACTTCAAATAAAAAAAACAAACATGTAACATTGTAAATATATAGTGTTTGGTAGTTTAGTAGTAGTGCTAGTTGTTTTTTGTTTCTCTATTTCCTTTGTTTTTATGACTTCTTAACTTTTATTTCTTTGACCTGAGGAAGGGACAGTGCGTTTCGAGAATTTGACAATTTTTAATTGCTCGTGTCGTTGGTCATTCTAGTGCTTTATATATATAAATATATATATATATATATATATATATATATATATATATATATATATATATAAAGCAATTTTACAACAACTCTTAAACTAACATAACTGCCCTAAGTGAAGAAATATTATATATAAGGATACCCACTTCCGCCCTAGCCCGGGGTTGAACTCTCGACCTAAGGAATCTGTCTCCTAGCAGTACAAGAACAGCACGCTAGACCGCTCGGCTATTTAGGCAAGTTAAAAAACTTGCTTTCGATGCCGATGGAATTCTCGCGGCGCTGCTCTACACTACACGGTCATTTAGAATGGAGGTGAAATACAGTTATTTGGACATTAGTTTTATTAGAGGATCGTTACCAATACACGTTGTAATGAAATTAATTTTTATTTATAAAGCACATTTTACAACAACTCTTAAACTAACATAACTGCCCTAAGTGAAGAAATATTAATATAGAAAGCACAAAGAAATTCACTTTTATAAGGATACCCACTTCCGCCCCAGCCCGGGGTTGAACTCTCGACCGTCCTCCGGAATCTGTCTCCTAGCAGTACAGGAACAACCCCGGGCTGGGGCGGAAGTGGGTATCCTTATAAAAGTGAATTTCTTTGTGCTTTCTATATATATATATATATATATATATATATATATATATATATATATATATATATATATATATATAGAGGTATTCAAAGGTATATAGGTATTCATTCATAGCATTCAGAAATCTAGCGTGGCCACTTTTTAATGTTCAAACTAAATATGCTCAGCTGCATTTTCAGGCACCGGGGGGGGGGGGGGAGGGGGGCAAGGGGAGGGGGTTTGTCTGCCACTTTTGTTTAAACATAACAATGGCGGATCCAGAGGGGGGTTTTGTGGGTTGGACCCCCCTTTATTTTTTGCCGAGATGAGAGAGAGAGAGAGAGAGGATAAAACGTTTGCTGGAATAGATACATGTATTTGTACGTCTAACTCACGTACGTTGTTCAAAACAACTCGAACGGTTGGTCATATTCCACTTGCTATTAGATGAAGTCTCATAAATTTTTCTTTCCCCCACTTACATTCTATTTAGCTTCTATTCCTCTCTTTCAGTTTTTTATTTATGGGTGTCTGAATGGAATAAAATATTCTACTTATTTCAATCTACATGTATGATAAGTAACATGCGAGGTTTAATTTGATATCGGATTCCGACGGTCTTTGGCTATATATACGCACAGGTGCTTGTGAACAGGAACCCCCACCCCTCCGAATATACACCCTGGTCCAAGGACATTTTTATTCGTCTTTTTCCATAAATTAATCTTCTAGTACACATTTACAAGTATTCCATATGAAAAATCCAAAAAATAACGTAGAATTAACGTTTTATTTTATAATACCGCGGGTATGATTGGGGGGGGGGGGGGGGTCCTGTCCACAAGCACCTGTGTATATACGTACCATTTTCGGATAAGTTTTTGAAGGAACTAAATTAAATAAGTCAATAAAGGGAATATGCGCAAGGCCACAGTAAATTATATATTTCATTTTCTGTTTTACTTCTATAGGTTTTCAAAAACCTTCCGAAGAAAAAAAAAGTTTTTCAAATTCTTAAAAGAAAAATTCTATGTATTACTAATTAGTATTATGGAAATGCTGCAAATGCATTCAATTTTAAGACTTCAGTGGTTTTTTTGGAATGAGTTTTTTTTTTATTCGGACTGGTGAAGAGGAGGGAAGGGTAACCATTTCAACGTACATGTATGTAAAACAAAGATTTTACCGGTATTTACCACAACCTAAGAATTTTCTCTGTGTGTGTGTGTGTGTGTGTGGGGGGGGGGGGGGGGGGGGGTAGAGGGTCAGCACCCTGGAACCCCCCTTTCAAAAATTGTTCGCTCTGCCCCTGCATAACCTTTAAACACAAGAGGCCCAGGGGCCACATCGCTCACCTGAGCACTATGGCTAGGAAAAAGCAGAAATCACTTCAATCTTGAAAGGTTGAAAAGTTTAAATATAAAAGTGGTTGGGGGGGGGGGGGGGTGTGTCATGAATTGAACAAATTTGAATCTACATTATCTGAGGATGCTTCCATTTAAATATGACCAATCATGGCTTTGCTGTTCTTGAGTAGAAGATTTTTAAAGATTTAACCTATGTATTCCTATGTAAAACTTTGATCACCCATTGTGGCCCCACCCGACCCCCAGGGGTCATGTTTGAACAAACTTGAATGTACACTATCTAAGAATGCTTCCATATAAATATGACCAATCATGGCTTTGCTATTCTTAACAAATAGTTTTTTTCAAAGATTTTTACTATATGTTCCTATGTAAAACTTTGATCGCCCATTGTGGCCTCACCCGACCCCCGGGGGTCATGATTCGAACAAATTTGTATGTACACTATCTGAGGATGCTACCATATAAATATGACCAATCATGGCTCTGCTATTCTTAACAAATAGTTTTTTTTAAGATTTTCCCATATATTCCCATGTAAAACTTTGATCGCCCATTGTGGACCCATCCGACCCCTGGGGGTCATGATTTGAACAAATTTGAATGTACACTATCTGAGGATGCTTCCATGTAAATGTGACCAATCATGGCTTTGCTGTTCTTGAGAAGAAGATTTTTGAAGATTTTCCCATATATTCCTATGTAAAACTTTGATCGCCCATTGTGGCCCCACCCGACCCCCAGGGGTCATGATTTGAACAAACTTGAATCTACACTACCTGAGGATGCTTCCATGTAAATATGACCAATTATGGCTTTGCTGTTCTTGAGAAGAAGATTTTTAAAGATTTTTTCCTATATATTCCTATGTAAAACTTTGATCGCCCATTGTGGCCCCACCCGACCCCCGGGGGTCATGATTTGAACAAACTTGAATCTACACTACCTGAGGATGCTTCCATGTAAATGTGACCAATTATGGCTTTGCTGTTCTTGAGAAGAAGATTTTTGAAGATTTTTCCTATATATTCCTATGTAAAACTTTGATCGCCCATTGTGGCCCCACCCGACCCCCGGGGGTCATGATTTGAACAAACTTGAATCTACACTACCTGAGGATGCTTCCAAGTAAATATGACCAATCTTGGCTTTGCTGTTCTTGAGAAGAAGATTTTTGAAGATTTTCCCATATATTCCTATGTAAAACTTTGATCGCCCATTGTGGCCCCACCCGACCCCGGGGGTCATGATTTGAAGAAACTTGAATCTACACTATCTGAGGATGCTACCATATAAATCTGACCAATCACGGCTTTGCTGTTCTTGAGAAGAAGATTTTTAAAGATTTTTCCTGTATATTTCCTATGTAAAACTTTGATCGCCCATTGCGGCCCCACCCTACCCCCGGGGGTCATGATTTGAACAAACTTGAATCTACACTACCTGAGGATGCTTCCACATAAGTTTCATGTTTTCAAGCACAGTGGTTCTTGAGAAGAAGATTTTTTAATGATGCCATTAATTTTTCACAAATTCTTAATTATCTCCCCTTGGAAGAAGGCGTGGCCCTTCATTTGTACAAACTTGAATCTCCTTTACCCAAGGATACTTTGTGGCAAGTTTGGTTGAAATTGGCCCAGTGGTTCTTGAGAAGAAGTCGAAAATGTGAAAAGTTTACAGACGGACAGACAGACGGACTACAGACAAAATGTGATCAGAAAAGCTCACTTGAGCCTTCGGCTCAGGTGAGCTAAAAATAAGTACAAATACTTGAAACTATAGGTAATTCATATTTGAATATATATTGATTTGGCCCTATTCGGGGTGTCCAAAGTAAATTTAGCTGAATTGCATCCGTTAAAATTGATGTTTCATTCTATCTTTATTTTCTTGCCATCATGATCATGTGGGGGCTTTTTTCATACAAAATCATGGTGGTGTTTGCAAGTGTTCAACTACATGATTATGATTATATTATTGATTTCATGAGAATTGTCTAATTAATATTTTTCAAAGCAAATAATAAAACGAAGGATCATATTTTTAACAGTTTATATTAATAAATAAATACATTATACTGTCATCAACGTGCACAGCGTCAACCTACCCAAGCCCGACATTTATATATAGGCCTTTCTATAACTTGTTCAGAATTAGAGACACTAATTATTTGAAAGAAGCAATAATAATAAAAGTGACAGGAAACAAATTTTTAAGACATTTTAAAGAACTCTCTACGTTACCCAATATTCACACGCTGAGCTCAATTATATTAATGTAAGGCCTAAATCACACAGCTTTTCCCCTCATATCCCATCCAGTAAAGACTTAGAAGAAGGTACTGTTTACCTATATAGACTAGTTTATCTTCCTTTGCTTCCAATTAAGTTTTGTTCGTCTGTAAATATTTCCTGGCCACTAACAACACCGGGTCGTCTGCTCTACTTATTTTGGGTCGAGATCGGGATCCGTCCTTATCTGAGCCACTGTCATCGTGAAAAGTCATGTGAGAAAGCAGGAAAGCTCGTTTTAAAATCATGAAGTATATTCGTGCTGCCATTGGCGTGTTTTTTGAGTATGACACTCCACGAATCGTCCACATAAAAAGCAAGAAGGTTGGTGTGATAAACCGTTTTATTCAGCTCTGTATCATCGGCTACGTCATCGGGTATGTAATGTAACAGTGTGATATTTACAAAGAGAAAGTGTTCAATTCTTTTATAAATATCAAATTTCTAAAATATTAAGAATTTATAAATTTTCTACTTTGTTCAAAATTCTACCTTTCTGAAATCACCCTTATAAATCTATGCAACATTTTATCACTTTCTAGGACATTTTTGTGAAACTGAGAATGAAAAATTGATTTGGTTAAACTTGTTCATTTTACTTTTGTAAACATGACTTAAGATATTGTTAACATGATTTTTTGGAAAAAAGTTTGTTTGTTGCTATACCATGAAAGTTAGTCAGTAATTGTAATAATGTGAATAACAGATGGTGTCATTAATACTATTGATCACTTGGCATGAATAACAGGCAGGATCGAAAAACTTCATTTGAAAGATCACAGAAAAAAAACTGTTAAAACTATTGAATATGTTTTTTAAATTACAACAATTGTTTTCCATGACAAATTGTAGGTATGCCATCATTTTCAAAAAGGGTTATCAAGACTTTGACAATGTGCAGAGTGTGGTTACAACAAAAGTCAAGGGAATTGTCATGGTAGATGAATCAATTCATCCTGACATCCAACGCATCTGGGATGTGGCAGACTATATTGTACCCCCTCAGGTAACAGAAATCAATGTGTTGTGAATGAGGAAGGGTAAACAACATTGAATTAGATCTTGTTTTAAACTTCTATCTGCTCAAGTATGTTCCTTAGAAATTGTTTTGCCAGCACCTACATTTTTAAAAGTGAAATATTTTAAAAATTTCGTTAAAAAGAAATATTTAAGTGTAATTCTTACTTTATTTCAAATTACATGTTTGTTTTCAGGAGAACAATGCCTTTTTTGTTGTTACAAATTTGATTGTCACTCCTTTCCAATCAATTGGCAAATGTCCAGAGGTGAGTATTGCTATACATGCAGTTTTGATGAGATGATGATGATGTTTTATATATATATATATATATATATATATATATATATATATATATATATATATATATTATATATATATATATATATATATATATATATATATATATACTGAATAAAAATTGCAATCTGAATAGAACTGAGTAAAGTACTTACATTGATTTAGAGTGAGATGTACATAATAATGTACATATAAATAAGAACATAAAATATATTCATTTAACTGTTTATTTTCAACTACTTAAATATTATGGTATTATATTTCTCTACATTTGCAAGATTGATTCATTTGGTCGCCTGACTCACTCATTTAAAAAAAAAAAATTAAACATATTTCAGAAAAAATGTGATGAATTTCAAAATGTTAAATTGTCAATTTTGAAAATAGTTAATTGTTTTAGCAACTATAATGAACAGATATTTTTAAAAATTATTTCTTTTATAGGATAGTTCAATAAAAGGTTCCAATTGCACTTCAGACACAGACTGTAAAAATGGAACAGTACTTCCAGTAGGAAATGGTAAGGGCATAAGTTGTTGTACCGTGGCGCTCTAGAGTCGTGGAGTAAGGAGTTGATCCTTACCTTGCGGGTTTGAATCCCACTGTGGGACGTGGAGACCGGTCCTTCGGATGAGACCGTATAAACCGAGGTCCTGCATCGCAGTAGGTGCTGGCACGAAAAAGATCCCTCACTGCTCAATGGCCATAAGTGCCGAGTATAGGACAAAATTTGCAGCTCTCCACCGGCAAGCGGTGGCGTCTCCATATGAGTGAAAAATTCTCGAGAGGGAAGTTAAACAACATACAAACAAACTGTTTTTAAGACAGACAATTTTGTGTTTTAAATCTCACTTTAACTCAAAAAAATCTTTTCTATCCTTCATTTCTCTGTCTTTTCACCCTTCACACTGCATTTTGAGCTCAGTTTCAAAGAAACTATTCAAGAATTTTTTTATATCAAACTTCAAAACAAAGATAAGATATTGGTGAAAAAAATTCAATTGTGTCATATATTAATTTGTTTCTGATGTTGACAGTCCCTATGACCATGATCTCACTATTTCTCAGTTTGTGTTTAGCTCAGTATCAAAGAATTTTCATCAAACTTTAAACACTGGTACAAATTGGTAAGAGCATGATGTCATAGTTATTTGTCCTTGAATTATACTTCAAATAAATAATTACAACTCCATACAGTGACAGGTATCTGTTTGAGCATTTCAACCATACCTATACTTAAGAGATTTTATATAAATTTGCTACATATATGAAAAGAATGAACTTGAATCAATGAGACTTCTTTGATCACTTAGATCTAGATACAATGAATCATCAGTAAATAACTTGTTACAAAAGGATACAACTGTACTTATGTATGTGAAAAAAAAAATGAAAATGTTATTACATGTATCTCTGACCAAAGAAACAAGGTACATTCAAAGTTACCTTTACCAATGGGCAGCTAGGACATTAATGTACTATGAATATATTTCTACATTTTTCATGAAATTTTTCTGAATGGAATATGAGATATTTTTATTCAATAAATTGATTAACTTGTATTTTATTTTTAGGAGTTCTAACAGGAAAATGTGATACTGATGTAAACACCTGTGAAATTACTGCCTGGTGTCCAGTAGAAAATGGGACTTTAAAGGCGTAGGTTTGGTTTCCTTTTTTCATTATTCCTCTATTCACAGTCAGCTAAAATTTAATTCAAGATAAAGTAACTTCAAAGATTTTTTTTTAATTTTACAACCAGCAAACCTAAAAGTATAAGTAATATGTATGATTTTGCTGAATTGATAATGTATTTTCTGTACAAAATTGATATCTCTCTCTATTTTTCAAGTTAGCTTGCTAGATAGATTAAGGTGCTTGGTCCAATTGTTATGGTAAAAAAAGATATTTCTGGTTGTTCATAAAAAATAATTCTCTGTAAACAGTTTCCACTTTATAAAAATTATATTCTCGGAGTCAGTTTCTTTTAAAAGATATTAATATATTAAATCTTAAAAAAGTAATTTTTGTTGGATAACAAAAAAATATAGAGAGAATGCAAAGCTTGTGCAGTGACTTCATAAATAAATCACACGATGGAAGACAAACAAACATGTGGTAGTCAAAAATACCTGACAGACTCTTAATTGTCATAAAAAAAGAACCCCAAAGTGGAAAAAGGTCCAAAAGCAGCATATTTATTAAGAAAGCACGCAGAAGAGTACCTGCTGGAATCATCAGGGGTGAACTGACATTCAGAACACATTGATTGAACTACCGGAGTTTGTTTTGGCGACATAGTTTATGCTGAGATTTCTCTTGATAAATTTTGTTGTTAAATGAAAAACAAAAATTCGAAAGTAGTCACATGATTTATTTTTGCACATATTTTGCAAACATATACATTTATTGTGTAAGAAAAAATGCACCTCAATTGGACCAAGCCACTTTAAAAGCATCAAAAAGTGTTGTGAAAATAAAATTTAACATTTATGGCATACTCGTGCTGTAGTAGAAATGCTAAAAATATAAATCTAATTTTGTATTTCAGACCAAAACCAGCAATTTTGGAGAACTCTAAAGATTTTACCGTATTCATTAAAAATAACATAGAATTTCCAAAATATAATGTCAAAAGGTAGGTAGTTTATTGTAAAGTGTACATTTTGTCATGAAATTTTAATTTTTTAACTATTGAATAATCCTTAACTAAGTATGTTGAATGTAAAATATCCTTCCTATTCATGAAATGCAGAGTGAAACAAGGTTAATATAGTTATGATGATGAACCACCAGGAATAGCCAAAATCACTCTGTTTTATCTATTAATATGATTATCTGCTTATATTTTATTGCCTTTGAACTTCTCGATGACAAATGATTATTTTCAGCAAGTGTTTCTGATAAGCATGTTTTGGTATATTGATAATACATTTGTATTTCCAATTTTAAATATACACCTTTTCATGTACAATGTTTAAGATGCATGATGTTCTTGACTGACTAGATTTGTATAATATGATTCAATGACTGTCCTTGCAGCATCTTTCTTTAATTTGCTTTCACCATTGATTATGTTTTGATCCCAAGAAAAGATACTGTTTGACAATGGAACCCTTGATTTGTGTTAACATAGTACATGTATGTTAGGGCGAGAACAAAGGTTTTATGTCTGACCAAAAAAAACTAATTTCACTTTGTTTTCCTCAAGAAGCCAATATCCCTTGCAGAATGTTGGTTCAAATGTGATTATCAAGTACTATTGTTAATCACACTAAAAATAACTTTTATTTCATTTCTTTATTCGTAAGGAGAAAAATTTCAAAAACTAATAACAAAGTGTTATGTACAAATACATTTGATGTACTCTTTTGCATATAATTATCGATGTCGGACACCAAAATTATTAGGTATCTTTACAGCCTCCATGTAAATTAAGTATTGTTTTATTAGACAGACATGAATCTTTTGATCTTCCCTTTTAATATTTTTTTTTTCTGTTGGATGACACATAATGATGAAGATTTAAATGATACAGGCGTAATTTACCAGACAATGTCAGTGATGAATATCTACAGAACTGTAGATATGATGGAGGACCCAACTCAAGATGTCCAATTTTTACTCTTCAGTCCATTGTAGAGGGCGCTAATAGTGGATCTTACCGTGATATAGCAGTGGAGGTACATCTGAAATCTGAATCATTTTCTGCCATTGTACATCTTTTGATTTTGATCAGTGAGATCAAGAAGAAAAAAAAAACCAAAATGTTAAGACATTAGTTATAGTTGCATGTTTATTATTTTGAAGTTAACCAAAAGTGCATTTGCATAACTAATGATTATTCATCTCAAAAATCTTCACAGAGTTGAGTATGTTCTTAAAATCATCATCTCAAAGAAATTTGGAACTTACTGATATGAAAAGAATCCAAAAAATCTACTTTTTAGGGCTCATAATTGTCACTTTGTAGTGATCCATTGCTATCTGTTTTTGTTCTTTGTCAAACTTTTGAACTTTTTTTCTCTTATACAGCTGGATTAGATCAGATGTGTTTAATTGTCTTATTAAGATAAATATTAAATATCTTCTTTTCCCTCCAACATGCTGCTTTAAAAGAAAGAGACAAATCAAGCATTTTTTTTAAGCATGGTCGTATACATGTACATGTATATATATTAAGTATCTCCTTGTTCACTGAAGGAATAGGAATGATTTTTACATATATATTTGATATTTATTTAACTACTTAATTTTGTTTATTTTATTAACAAGATGCATTGCTTCTTTATACCATAACTTTTTGCAATTTTCAAATGTTTCAACCATAGTATACAGTTGTGAATGCTGCATTTGTTAATTCCAATCTTGAATTGGTTATGTATTCGAACAGAGTGTGACAAGAAAATTCCTTTGTAAAGTTCTGAAGGTGCAGTTTCAGTATCACAGCTAACACATACCATTCCAAAAAAGTGATATGTCCAGATTTAGATTTTTAAAATGATGATTTCTTAGCTGTAATCTATGTTGAACTGAACAGTGAAGAAATATAGCAGACGTGGAAGTGAATTTCTTTTGTAAAGTTATTTTGTTGTTTTTTTTTTTTTTTTTTTTTTTTTTTTTTTTGAAAAATATAAATCCACAGTCTTCATGCATATTAAGAAAGTAACCTACTATAAGACCAGCATTCTCCAGTGTAAAACATATATAATTATTATGATTAACAATCCAAGAATTTAGATGAAAAATGTATTATGGCCTATAAACTACCTTCCTGTTAAACATAGTTTCACCAGTTCAACAGAATGTTGTCATTTGTAGTCTAGTGTATTTATAATTTAAGTTTATGGACTAATTAGCTTTAAATGAAAAAAAAAAAACATTATTTTTCCTGCATATGCACATTTCACCCTGCATGAAAAAACAGTGCTTTTTGGTTTCACAACTTTAAATGTAAAGATTGCCTCTCATTAAATAAAATTGAACATCACCGTCATTCAGGCTTAATCATTAATTTGTATCATTTCATTGAATTTCCTTGAGAATGTTCCCATAAAAAGAGGATTATATATAATTTAAATGCAAGAAGAAAAAAATATATTATATTTTTGGTCAAGTATATTAAAAGAGGAGACTTAATTTTAGTGCACACTTAAAATATTCAGAGTGCAGGTTTTTGAGATGACAACAGTTTTCTTTCTTTTTCAGATTAAGCAGTAAAATTGTTTGGCTGATAAGGAGATTGTCTTGTTTTTAATTCAATTTTTGAAAACTTACTATTGAATTGAGGTGAATGTGTGCATTTGCAGGAGAAATGTCTTAGGGTTTCAATCAAATGAAGAGTTGTCAAATTGTCGAAACAATCTGGACGATCCAGTATCGAAGTATTGTCCTATATTTGTGTTGAGTGATATTGTAATCGTGCAGGAGGTAGATATGAAGAATTAGCTACAGAGGTAATTCAGTTCTAGTGCTTTCAGACACATATTTTTAAAATTTCAATCATAAATATAAAAAAAGCCCATGCATTTTTGAATAATTTACTATGGTAAGTTTTATAATGGAAACATTTACATTCACACTCTGGTTGAAATTCAGTATTTTGTTTTCATTATCCAAAACTCATTTCTTGAAAATGAAGGATGAGTATTGAAGTAGTTAATTGAATTTACCATATTATCCCTTGAGTGAATGGAGGTGCTTGTATACACATAAAGTAGTTTTAATGCAGGGTAATATTTTTGTTAGCACAACAATAAAACTAGGGTGGTTCGTATTTCACGGCCATAATAAATTATATACATGTATTTAGAACCCCTCCAATTTAAAATTAATCCCTAAAGTCAAAGGGGGGCTGAATGTTTAATATTTTTTAAAATTACAAATCGTGAAAATATGGTTTGTAAATCTTTATGTCAACAATGCTGAAAATATAAACATAAATTCTTCAACTGTGTTACTGCAAGAAATAGGTAGAAATAGGACTCTGTGGGTTTTCAATGAAAGACAGTCAGAGTTTGTATTGATATTTGTTTTATGGTTTGAGCATTATTTCTTCTTTCTAATTAAATGTATAGGTCTTAATCTTTTTTTTCTATTTTACTTTGATTAAGAATATAATTATTTTGACTAGGGAGGTGTGATTCAAGTGAAGATAAAGTGGAACTGTAACTTGGATTTGTCAGTGGATGAATGTCTACCTGAATACAGCTTCAGGAGATTGGACAGTAGTACCTACAAAATATCTAAGGGATACAACTTCAGGTGCCCTCTCTCTTTTACGCTATAATGCTATGTATTTATTCCAATGAAAGTCTGTTTAAGATTATAGTCTGCAAATATAATGCATGTATTAATTGTGAAAAGGTGGTAAAAATGTGTAATGTTGATTGTATTCTTTTTATCCCCTCACAGTGGAGTTGGAGGGGATATAGTTACGCGCTTGTGTGTATGTGTAAGTTTGTCCTTGTGCAAAATGGAAGTGACATAATTTGCATCGGAATCGATGTCAAATGCTGACTTGATTTATAGATATGCTCCTTGTGAGGGGATGCTCCTCTTTACAGTGCCCTTGTTTAAATTTTAAACCTTTATATATTCATGTATTTCCTGGATTTTATGTGGGTTTTTTTTCTACAGGAGACTATGAGTAATACAATATTCACTTTAAAGCATAATTTAAGCCAAGAATACATATTTTGTAGGTATTCCAAAAATTTTAAATTTGAAAATGGAACAGAATACAGGACACTTTATAAAGCCTATGGAATAAAGTTTGTGATTTCTGTGTCCGGTCAGGGGCGCAAATTTGCACCTGTTCCATTTTTTACCAATATTGGAAGTGGTCTTGCCCTTTTGTCCATAGTAAGTCATTGAGTTTTTATTTATTGAATGAATGGATGATTAAAAGAAAGTTTAACTTAACCATTTTGACAGTTTTTTAAGCTAAAGCATATATGAAGCCTTTTTTTATGGTTCTTATTTGTAATCCGTCATTGCTTTTTGTATGTAATTTGTCTTATTTCAGAACTATCAATTTGGTTCACAGAAATTTAGGGTAAAAGAGTAGATTTAAGGAAGAATCATGTCCTTACCTAAGGGAGATATTTAGGAAATAATGGAAGAAATAAAAAGATTAAAAACAGATGTTCTGTTTATGTGGATTTTTTTTTGCCCTATTTTTGTTTTCACCCCTTTTTGCCCTGATCCTCACAAGTGAATAAATTTAAAATGAGGCAAATTCATAGATTGATTGATTGTATGTTGTTTTACATCCCATTCAAGAATTTTTCACTCATATAGAGACGTCACCATATACCGGTGAAGGGCTTCAAATTTTTACCTTTACTCGGCACTCAGGGCCATTGAGCAGTGAGGGATCTTTATCGTGCCAATGCTTCCGTGACACGGGACCTTGGTTCTTAAGGTCTCATCTGAAGGACCCGCAACTTTCACTTCAAAGTGCCGAGCGTATGGCGAAGGAACAGTTGCAACCCATTTTTTATCGACTTAGGTCAGCCGCCTGAGATTCGAATTCATGACCTTCCGATCACGGAGGGAGTGCTCTACCGAATGAGCTACCATGAACGGTGCAAATTTATAGAAGACAGAGTTGCAATGTATTTCTGTAAAACAACTGTGTCAGGCAAATTTAAAATGAGGCAAAATTTTTATGTGTGTGGAAGGGCAAAAATGAACCTTTATACAGTAATATCTAGACCAGTTGTGAGAATATTTCACTATACATCATAAATGAGACCCAGATATAAATTCAAGTTTGTTAGTTTTTTTTACCCCCCCCCCCCCCCCCCCCCCCCCCCCCCCCCCCGAAGAGGCAAGGGTAAAATTTGTAAAAAATTTGTAGAAGAAATTTTGACCAAAACATTGAACAGTCTTAAGGGCAATGTACTGGTAATAAATATATGTCGAAGTGATGATATTTGCATTTAATGTATCATGTAGATTCCAAATTGTTTAAACTCATGGTACATGGGGTCAAGAAGGGATTGCAATATAAGTTTTCTGAATAAAACAATTTGTACAGGTCTGCATGTACAGTGTATATACTATTAAATGTAAAACAAAAATTTAAATTAGAAAAATTAAAGAAACTTTAACATGATTGACATAAAGGTTGTAGTTGAGATCAGTTACAAATGACAGAACATATAGTAAAGGAAAATAATATTTGTCCAAATTTTGATAGAAAACTTTATGAATAGCATATTGGTCAGTGAATCTCTTTATCTACTTTACATATATACATGTATAATATATTAATCTGCAATTATTTCAATCTCTAGATATTTTGTTATAATAAGTGTGTAATCTTGAACTTTATGTCTTATTTTGTAGGCTACAGTCATTTGTGACATAGCAGTACTTTATATTCTAAAGGCCAGACATCTTTACAAGGAGAAGAAATACTTGCAAGTTGTTGGAGATGATGCATATAAAGTAGGTTGCATTAATATGTTTTTTTATAAAGTACATTATTTTCGCGAAACATCTTTATACTGTTATAAAAAATGTAACAGTAGTGAGATGATTTAAAAAAAACACACACACACAAACAAGCATGAATTACGAAGGATCATATATATGATATCTTTAAATTGACTCCTTTTAGATATACATGTTTCTACCATGTTTATCAAGGATGAAAAATATATAGCTTTTTACATGAGGGTATACTAGTACATGTGTAAGAAATTCCTCTCTATGAATTATATAAGGAAAAAAATCAGACAACTAATTACTATATTTTATTGACAAGAGGAGTCTAAAATTGATCACAAATATCAAAATGCAAGAAATGCTACTTTTCTACAGTGTTGAAGACCACTGACAGCAATTTTTTTTATCTTTTTTGAATCTCAGAACCTTCCACTTAAAAATATATGAAGTTTAATATTTAATATGAGGATAATTAGTTTTTGTCAGACTAATATTCATGATTTCAATGAATTTTTTCGGGAACAACAATGAAGAACTTATTTTTTTGGAATAAAGTTTAATTGAAGAGATTCATTTGAAAATTACTATTTAATTTTAAAAATAGCAGGAATAGATATTCTCAAACAATGTTCCTTATTTCAGCATTAGGCTATGTGAAAGATTTGCAATAATTGTCAATCTAGACTTTGTGCCTGTAGCTCATGGACATATTAGAGATACAACTTGAAAATGTAAAATTGCTACAAGTAAATAAATAAATGTAATTTTCTTATTTCAAGTTTCTTTTTTTCTTTTAAAACCTCAGAGTACTTGAAAACAGAATACCCAACTCTCATAGTCTCAAGGCATTTTTCAATTATATAAATCTTGTTCAATCTGTAAAACAGAAAATTCCTGGGAATATATATATATATATATATATATATATATATATATATATATATATATATATATATATATATATATATATATATATATATATATATATATATAAGCACTAAAAACCAACAACACTGTATATCCTAAGTGTCGGATCTACTAAGTAGCTACAAGGTCACGGAAGGAAATTTATATAAAGCACTAAAAATGACCAACGACACGAATAATAATAATTGTCAAATTTTCGGGACAACCTGTCCCTTCCTCAGGACAAAGAAAAAAGTTAAGAAGTCATAAAAACAAAGGAAATAGAGAAACAAAAACAACTAGCACTACTACTAAACTACTGAACACCAGAGTGAAGACCAGAGTACACCCGATAGAACGGACACAATTCATAGCATTCCAGATTTCTTTGACAATTATTATTGTTCGTGTCGTTGGTCATTTTTAGTGCTTTATATATATATATATATATATATATATATATATATATATATATATGTATGTATGTATGTATGTATGTATATATATATATATATATATATATATGTGTGTGTGTGTGTTAGGTAATATAATTCAAGGTTTTTTATCACGTCTCAAAATTTTTTGATATGACCAAGTATAGAAAATATATGAATTAGAAAATTAAGTTAAAAAAGCCTCTCATCTATACTTGTGTTTAGAAAGGTTTAGCCTATTATTATCAATGAAAATTTTCATTGTGTTCAAAATATTAAACAAATCATTTTCTTTTAAATAAATTCATAAGTAACCAAAAAATGCAAGATAAATTCTACACATACATGTAAATTACTAAACACAGTCAGTCAGTGTTGATAGGTATAATATACAATCCAAAATTTCACTAGGGACTTGTGAATGAAGACGAGAGGTCTATGCCAAATTATCAAGCAACATCAGACAATGACCTTTAAATTGGGTGCTTTTATCTAGGTTGGTGTCAAATATGTTACATGTCTGTGTTTCAACCCAGCCCTAAAATGAAATGAAGCATTGCTTGTAATGGTCACATTTTATTAATCATATCTGCAACACCTACATGTTTTCCTACATTTGCCCTAGTATTTTACTAGTACATGTATCTGCTTGCCAGAACATTTTACTACTTTTATTCATCAAGATCATTGACAATATTTGGAAAGTGATTTTTTTTTTACAAATGAAGTCATTTCATTTTTTTTAAGAATTCAGGACTTAAATTTCTTAAACTGAAAAATGATAGAGCTTCATTTTAAAGGAAAAATAAACTACAGTGTATTGGATATAGCTTGTTGGCAACTATAAAAAACAATGTATATACTTGTGTAATCTTATGTACAAACACAGATTCCATGACTGAAAAAAAATTCTACAAAATCCACTTTTCATTAAGACTTGTGTCCTTAATTATATACCAGGTATATATATTGTCTTTGAAGTTGAGTAATATAAAAACATTACATGTATCACTTTCACTCATGTTTGATACATTTTCCATATAATTTGTTGCAGGAAATAGACTAGAGTTACACAACTTGTATTAAAATAGTGAGTATATATTTGTGTTTTGGCAAACTTTATAGGCTAGAATGTGAAAAAAAGAACACCACACTTTAAACACATTTTTTTTAATTTTGCAGAAAATGTTTATGTGCCATGGGAAAGTAGAACTAGTTATTTGTAGATGATAATTGCAAGTAGTATATATCTTTTGAGTCATCTTCAAGGAATGCCAAGTAAACAGTAAATACAGTGTGCATGAAGGGATCTATATATATTCATATCAAAATGATGTACTTTTATCTACTTTTATGTTTATTTTTTGTAGAGTTTTTTTTTTTTTGAAACTTAAAATGATTTTATACATATTTGAAATACGTTAAAATCATGCAATGGGGTACTGTTCTTACAGTGGTAATTTGTATTATACTTTAGAAATGCTGTTTTTCTATATGTAGCTGAAGATTTTGCAGATAAATTACCCTTAATATTCATATTCTATTCTTCTGCTGTTGCCATTTTTTCAACACTTTCATGACTCCATCTCAAATTAAAGCTGCCATTAATGAACTTCAAAACAAACAAAAAAAAAAAAAAAAAAAAAAAATCAACGGTAAAGAATTATTAGCAAAATTTTTAAGCGAACAATATCCAATATGAATTTAAAATATCCCTATCCATTTTCCATGAATGTTATTTTGCTTGAAGAATAATATGATAAAATACTTGAGTATAAGCATTTAATTACCATGTAACTCTTTTCTTTATGGACCAACAGTAACACAAATATTTACCGAAACATAGTTAGATGCATAGTTTTCACACAACATACACACTCATGTCATTGCGTTTACTTTTAGATATCTTGCACATCAGTAGATAGAGTTCTCTTACCTGGAAATAAGATTACCATTATTCTGTGAAACCCATCCTTTTTTATTTTATGCATACTGTTTCTGTTTTTTTCTTTGGTTTCAGTATGATGTATAGTGTATGTGAAAGAATATAACATAGCTGTAGTCACTGTATATTTCTGTGTAGGTCTTTGCTCACATTCCAATTCTACCATAATTCAGCCACACAGTTTCTACAGTATCCTTTATAGGACACTTGTTCTTTTTGATAGAGGACTATTTTATTCAAAATAAACTTTTGTTTAAAAGTCCATACACTATGCAAAAACTTTGTAAAAGGTTAGCATTGTCATAAAGATAAGTTTGTGAAAATTATATTTTTATTATTAAGTATGTAAGTTTTTATTTAATTTTTTTTTCATACATATAAGTAATCACCATCATCAAATCATTTTTAAGTGCTTGTGAATTTCTCTACACAAGGTTGATAAAGATTGTTAGTACCTTAATTTAATCTTGATAAACTTAACGTTTTTACGATAAGTTGTTTCATATAGCCTTATTAGATATGGAAATCAATGCTGTATATGCATGATAGTTGTATTGTATTGACTGTTTAATGAAATTGTTAACACATATCTGTATTAGTTAAATAAAATATTACTGTTGCATTTATTTACAATTATGAAAAATTCTGAAATGTACTTCTAAATGACAGACTTTCAGTCAAGCATCATTACAACATGTATTTATAAAAATTATTATTCCCTATTTTTTATCATTTATATTCATGATTATGCTGTTTTAGATTCGTTAATGCCAATCGTCTTCCACTTGTGATATGTTTTCTTCAGAATAAAGTTTCGTAAATAAGTATGAAGTTTTTCCCTTGAGAATTTGTTATATATTGTATGTACAAAACTCCTGCAAAACGACCCAGGAATACAATATGTTTCACCTTCAAAATATAGCAGAAATATTCAGTGATGATTCTGCCTTTTCTTTGCCCATCTGTTTGTTTCTATGCAAGATAATTCTTTGAAAATTAATTTAAAAAATTTCATGCATGTGAATGTCTTCCTTTAGAATTTACTGATGTTTTTACAATTTACTGAATATTGGAGTAATATGTTCAAATCGCTGTTAACTGTTGGTAAATGAGAAAAAACAATACGTAAAAAAATTATCACAGAAAATTTTGTAGTCGAGTGGATGATGGCAAATGCCCAGACGTTTCTTTATTGCGTTTTTAGCTCTACTGGTCAGAGACCAGAAGAGCTTATGCGATAGTAAGGTGTCCGTCGTCCGTCCGTCTGTCTGTCTGTCCGTCCGTCTGTAAACAATTTTTCAAAACACTACTCCTCCTACAGTTTTGGTCTGATTTCAATATAACTTGGCACATAAGTAGACTACACAAAGATACATAATTCTTTATATCGGTTTTTGATTTCAATGAACGGTGTTGCCATGGTTACTATAAATAGAAAATTCTGTGAAAAACTTTCAAAACACTAATCCTCCTACAGTTTTGATCTGATTTCAATATAACTTGGCACACAAGTAGACTATACTAAGATACATAATTCTATAAATCGTTTTTGATTTAAATGAACGGTGTTGCCATGGTTACTAAAAATAGGAATTTCTGTGAAAAACTTTCAAATCGCTACTTCTCCTACAGTTTTGGTCCAATTTCAGTATAACTTGGCAAACAAGTAGACTACACTAAGATACATAATTCTTTGTATGGATTTTAGAATTCGATGATTTTTGTTGCCATAGTTACTAAAAATAGAAATTTCCTTGAAATACCTTCAAAATACTACTCCTCTTTCAGTTTTGGTCTGATTTTAGGATAATTTAGCGCACAAGTAGACTACAATAAGATACATAATTCTCTATACCAGTTGTTGATTTTGATGAACAGTGTTGCCATGGTTACTTAAAATAGAAATTTTCTTGAAATACTTTCAAAACGCTACTCCTCCTACAGTTTTAGTCTGATTGCAATAAATCTTGCCACAAAAAGAGACTAAACCAAGGATCATTATTTTATGTATTGCTGTTGCAAAGTTTGAAGTCCAAGTGCTACTTTTATCTTCCTTTATAAGTACAACCAGTAGAGCTACAGTCTCGTCAGAGACTTCTGGTTATATTGATACCTCCTCAAATAGTTACAGTAAGATATTTTTCGTTAGTATCAATTTGCTCTCATATATGTCATTTACAGGTACTATACTATGGCAGTATTGATACTGTATTTAAATTGTTAGTTTCAGAAAACAGTTAAATTTTCGTTAAAAGTAAATATCCCTTATCAGTCTCAGGCACTTTTTTTTCCCCAAAACGTAACCTTTTACTGTTGAAAATGTTCATTGAAAGAGTGGTTGTTCTGTGCTATTATCTCTTTCTGCTTTTATGAAAACACCAGAGATTGGATAAGGTGCTTAGGAGTCATCCCATGTCAACAGGTCGCAGTCGTCGTGAACCCTTTGTTTTGGTCCGATAAATGGAATAATCAATAGTCAAAATTAGTATATAACAATGGCTTTACAATTGGTATGGAAACATTTCAGTCAAAATACGACCCAAGCATACCAAGCGATTTGTATTTGCGAACAAAGTCATTATAAAGACCATAGAATATGCAAAATAATGACTTTAAACGAGACTCAATAGAAAGCCCTGTAACATCAACTTATTAGTCAGTAGTCTGTCTGGGTTAATTTGAATCGTACTCAAAACACGCACTTGCTCACTGAATCAATTTGGAGACATAAACTCCATATGCAGATGATAATTGAATATTACGACTTAAATAGAGAGTATTTACGTTAGAAAAGCTGTAGTTTTTTGTTTTACATGTATAGTTTAGTTGTAACTTGGCGTTTAGCGTCTATAGTCAGTAAAACATTAATTATGAAAAAAATTTTGTAGACTCTCTGGTTTCTTTCAATGCAAGTACGCTGGTTTATATCAAGTCCACATAAGAATGAAAATAACCTTTAACCAAATGAATATTCTTTAAAAGATACTTTATTCATAAATTCTATCATTGAAACAGCGCAAAGACAAATCGGCAATGGCTTCATGATGTAAATTTAAAGACTTCATTTGAAATTGATTGCTCACTATAAGAGAGAGAGAAGGAGAAAGTGATGCAGCTTGTTGTCAATTGAGGAAAATACTGAGTCAACAGTTTAAAGACATGATACAAACTTTTTTTTTTCAAGTATCATGAAAAAAAACAAACAAGCCATGTTTATGTAAGTAAAGTGAATAATTTTAACCACATTCACATTTTTCATTCAAGCTTTCACAATAATGTGCTACTGATTGATGAAAAGTTGTATTGAATTACAAGGGTGACGACAAAAAGGTAGAATTTGGAACATCACAGAAAGTTTACAATTTCTTAATATTTTAGAATTTTAATATTTGCATCATTTACAATCAAAATAGGTCCAAAAATATATTTCAATCCAGGCATCAATTTTTTTGTTTGTATCATCTGTCCTTAATTGATCAGTGTTAGAGTCTATATCTTTTACAACTTTATCAGAACCTGCCTAATAGAATAAACAATTTTTCCATTCATCA